TAAACCCCTCCAATCCATACATGAAGCAAACTGACACCCACCATAAAGATGTGGCACGACCACGAACACGAAGCCAAACAACAGCAATGAAGCTCACCATCTCAAATCCCCCTGCAACTCAGACTAACCTGAGCACAACAAAGCCCCCACCCAAACAGAACACTCCCCCATCCAATCAGAGCACAGCCAACCCCCCATCAAATCAGAGCACAGCCAAGCTCCTTAACCAATCAGAACACACCTCCACCCAATCAGAACACAGCCAAGCTCCCACCCAATCAGCTCAAACTCTCTGGCAGTTAAAAGGAAGAAACAGCTGCGATCGCACACTACTCCCAGAAGCACGAAGCTGAAGACACCAGCCTGAAGATGACGAATGTGACTTCGTCGAAACATCGCCAAGACACTTCAAATTTTACGCGGGAGAAAACCCGAATATCCAAAGACCTACATATATATATACATATATATATAACTATGTTCAATAAAGTTACATATTGAAATGCATTAATGACTTGCATAATTTCTTGGCCCAGGGCCTAAAGGAAAAGCCATGTGACTGAGGCCATGTGATTCCCACACTTTTGGCACATGCTCTCTGTCCCCAACCAGAAAGAGGCCAGGGCACACACCTACTCTCCATGCACACTGATGGGTTACATGGAACACCACTAACATTATCTATCACTGCTGGTAGATCAAATCTGTAGAATTGAGTAATCTCAAAATAGTCAATCTGTACTTTGTTTATTCTTGGATGGAGATGCACCATTTGTCATGTAATACTTAGTTTAGCGAGTGGGGACACAAACTGCAGTTCCGTGATTCATTATACCTCTAGGACCTTTAAAGAAATAGTAGGGGAAGACACATACATGTTATCTGAGGGAAATCATTGCTTTCTCTCAGAAAGACCAGCTGCATTTAACTGACAATTGCAAATGATGGTCGTGGGGTGGTCCCTAATTCCATTCACCCTACTGTAATTCTGTGTGGGGGAGAGTGAGAGGTTGTCTCACAAGGCTTAATATTTGGGAGGACACAGATTTCCCACACACAAACTTGCCCCTCCCATCCCTTAGTGTTTATAAACTCATTTTTACTCTTCCCAGTGACTAAAGTTAGTTAGAATTATGTTCTAGAAATAATTTTCTTTATTTGTGACAAATCTCTATAGCTAGTGATAACCATAAGGAAGCAGCCTGTGTTTAGGTTTAACTTGACAAATGACAAACGCATTATATGCGTTTTCTCCAGTTCTTCTTACACAAACATTTCACAGAACAATTTAAACTATTGACATAGTTTCATTGTGAGTGGCTAGGTTTGAATTTGCAGTCAAGATATTACAGGAGCTAATGAAATTCAAGCTAACTGTGGTACAGTATGCACTGGCATTCAAACGGGACCACCAGCGAATCTGTAACAGAAACACGGGGAATTAAATAAATTCCAAGTCGAGCTCTTCCTTTGAAAGGAGGAGAGAAAGTGGTTATTTAGCCTAACCATATTTTGAATTTGAACATGTCTCACTTGTTGTCAAGTAAAGTTGGCAAACACTCTTGAAGAAACAAAACTGCCTCAGGGAAGATGACAGGTGGGAATTTATTTTATTCGTTGCAAAATGAGACAATCTGAGACACTCAGTGCAAAGAACTTCTTTTCGAAATGAAATGTTTGAAGGTATATCGCTGAAGTAGGACCAAAACCAATGACCAGAAAAAGCAACTGAAATAATGATCTGCATTTATTCAGTCATAAGGGAAGTACATGGTAAAATCCTAACACAAGGGTCCAGGGATCTCCCAAGAGCTCAGATTTGGGAACTGAGGAGAATGCTTTATCTCTAAAGATTTTGCAATCTATCCATAAACAAGGATAAATATTAAGTATTACTAGATTTCATTTGACACCTCTGCAGCTTCCAAATCTGTGAAGATGTCCCAAATTCACATTTAGAACTGAGGCAAAGAAGGGATGGGTCCATTTTGTGGATTCCATCTATAGTTAGACCCATCAGTTTCTCATATACAATTCACAGGTGTTTTATTGAAGGCAAGGTTAGGTAATTAATGCCCCAAGGGCTGCATATAACTCTTACCCGGTTGCCCATAAACCTCAGCCTAATTTCAAAAGTTCTGTACAATCAGTCATGGCAGGCATCGAGACATGACTACTATTTCTGCAGTTTGTGATTTAGGTGAATGAGAAGTAGAAGCCAAAAATGAATGCCCTCCTCCAATGAACCATTGCCTTCGTTATGCAACTCCATCCCCATGAGTTTTCCACAAAAATAACAGAAGACCCTTCTCTGTTTTAAGGAATTAACAGTCTGCTTATAATAAAAGGGATAATGGGGAGGGATCATTGGGAAGTGTTTACAAATATTATAGAACTAAGAGAGCCAATTTGTGCAGTGATTAAGGCACGAAGCTAGAAGCCAGGATACCATGAGTTCTAGTCCTGCCTTAGGCATGAAGCCAGGTGGGTGACCTTAGGTCAGTCATTCTCTCTCAGCCCTAGGAAGTAGGCAATGGCAAATCACTTCTGAAAATCTTGCCAAGAAAACTGCAGGGGTTAGTCCAGGAGTCAGCATTGATCTAAGGCATTTTTTTAAAAAAAAGGACTAAGGATTTTAGCGTTTTCTGGAAATGTTCAAAGCAGTCTTTAATATCTTAATTCTACATGCAGCTAAATGATGCATATCCATCAGAAGGATGGGATACAGAACTTGGAATAAAATAATGAATAATTCCTCCTTGCTGCAGCTGATGCTGTAGAATTAAATTAGTTTCTTGATCTGTACAGGTAGTTTAAAGTTTGTTTACAGTTGGGTATAAAATCATGTATTTAAGTATCTGGCTCTTCAGACATGTTTAGCATAATCTGAATTGTATGTGTTGACTGCATGTGTATTCATACCTCTGGGTGAACTTTTAACTTCTATCCCAATTGCAAAATGAAAAGGTATTGCTTAAGTATTTAACTACACCTAAAAAAAAAAGAAAAATCTATAAATCTAGTTCATTCTGTGAGGCATTTAGACCTGAGTTGGTTCCCTTTTCCAAACTTCTGGTCTAAGGGGTGGGTGGGTGACAATGGGAAAAAGTGCAATAGAAATTATCTAGTTTAACCATTTATAATTAATGACACTCTGGAAATCTTCCAATCCTAGCAATGCCTGCTCTCTATAAAATGAGCGTGCACATCTGCTGTTTCAGTTAGGACAGTGGGAGTTGACTGCAGGAGAAGTCTCTTAGAAACCCAAATCTCTGCTAAGTAAGGAAGATGGGTGTGCTTAGAAATATGAAGCAGTTTGATGCAAATCACACTGGTGAGATTAACAGAGCTGTCTCTTCCGTGAGCAGTTAAAAGTGAAGTCAAAGAGACTCTCTGTGGCTTCAGCAGTGTATGATTCAGAAAGCAACATTCACCGTTCTTTTCCAAACTGCTGCAAACGTTCACTGCCGGTTGCTGTTTATTTTTAAGTTCAAAAAGCACAAGAAGCTCTAGTTGCCGTTTATTGCTAAAGGATCCAGGATAGCAGGTAAAAGCCGTTAATCCCCAGCAAGCTGCAGGGCAGGCTAACAGTGAGAGATGACAAAAGTTAATTGGAAACATCAGCAGTCTAACAGAAGATGTGTTTGCAGTAATTGGGATGTAATGTCTCCAGAAGAGAAAGTTTGCAAGGAGTAGCTTTAAAAAGCAGTGGCTCTCGAGAGGTGAGTAAGGGAGATTGTTAAGCTCTCTTTTTTAAAAGAAAAAACATGAAATGCCATCAGAAAAAAAGAACGTAGAAGACGTTTAAATTCATCAAGGAAATATTTCAGCTATATCTTCTTAATATAGCTGCTGTCAGTTTAAGATAAAACTGATCATACATGAATTCTTGTCAGGATAAAGGTATAAGAAATTTTAGTTTTGTGGATTAGGAAATGAAATGTATATTTAAGGTTTGGTTTGGTTTGTGGACTTTGTTTTGTTTGTGGTGATTCTGATATGCGAACGTTGGTTTTATTTTGTTTGATTCTTGTTACATTTGGAATTGTTTGTTCAGTTATTTTTCAAGATTGTCAAACTGGGTGGTTCCACACAGACTGAGTTCATATTTATTTGTTTGTTTGAAACATAGCTTTGATTTAGGCCGCTTCCAAACTCTATCACTATAGTTGGGGTAAACAAATGTAGATTGGATGATCCAGAGCAGTAAGAAAGAGATGGAGTTTTCAGTAAACTTGCAATTGAAATAAAACTTTTAACAATTGCCAAAAGTTGACTATTTAGTCTGCCCCCCCAACATATCTTTTTTCAAGTCCAAAAATAGAGATAGAGAGAGTATAAAATGTCATTTCTGTATTTTTGAAAATACCGTTAAATACTGAAATACCATGAAAGCAAATCATGTTCACCTGAAGATTTTATCTAAACGCAAAGTGCCAACAATCTTGTATCTTATTTTTTCTCTCTCCCCAGAACCAGCAGACAGTTTAGACCCCCAACCCACAGGAATGAATGAAAATGCAACTTCTTTGGTTCAAAGCAGCAGTAGCAACAATGCTGCCAGTTGCAATAATTCTTCGGCCATCCCCCAGCCCAATTCTGCAGTCAAACCTTGGCGCAGCAAATCATTAAGTGCTAAGCACACAACCACAACATCCACATTAACTGTAAAACAGCAGGTTCAAGAATCTCCCAAACCTCTCCCAGAGATGGTCAAAACTACTCCCAATGGTCAGAAATCAATGCTGGAGAAGTTGAAACTCTTCAATACAAAAGGGGGTTCCAAAGCAATAGGGTCATCTCTTGAATGTCCGGGGTCTCGGGACACTAGCTGTGAAAGATTAGAGGGCCTCTCAAACTTCGAAGAAAGTGAGGAGATGGAGGCTGCAAACCGGAACTTAAACACCCCAGGACCCACATCAAATAGTCCCAAAATTGCACTTAAGGGAATTGCACAACGGACATTTAGTCGGGCTCTGACCAATAAAAAGAGTTCCCCAAAGGGCAATGAAAAAGAAAAAGAGAAACAGAAAGAAAAGGAGAAGGAAAAGGAAAAGGAGAAAGAAAAGGAAAAAAACAAAGATGTGGCCCAGAGAACTTCCGTGATAGAAAAAGCTGACATGAAAGAAGAGCTGAAGGAAGAACAGGTCCCTCCTGCTGTAAACGAAATGCCAAAAAAATCCTCCAAGATTGCAAGCTTTATCCCCAAAGGAGGAAAGCTCAACAGTGCCAAGAAAGAAGCAGCTGCCCCTTCACATAGTGGAATACCAAAACCAGGGATGAAAAACACCACAGGGAAATCCTCAAGTGCCCCAAGTTGCTCTGCAAAAGAAGGTGAAAGAAGCCGAGGCGCAAAGCCAGCCACCAGCCTCTCTCATCCAAAAGCACAGCTAGATTGCAAGAATTCAAGTTCCACGTCAAGTTTAGCATCCACTGACGGGAGAGGAATGGGAGGGTGGTCAGCTTTAAGTTCCAGCAGCAGCAGCCATGCTGTCAATGGGCCAACTAACAGTACCACCCAGACAACAGGAAGCAATACTGTGAGTGTTCAGCTACCTCATCCGCAACAGCAATACAGCCATCCAAATACCGCCACAGTAGCTCCGTTCATGTACAGGTAAGGAGCACTTTTTAATCATAACTTGTCAAATCTGACTTTTCTAGTATATCCAGATATTCCTGGCATGGCTTTCTTCAAGGATGAAGAAAACTATAGTAATTGCTGACTTGCTTGGTGCTATTTATTTTAAACAGACCTGGGCAACAGTACATATTCTGAGGTCATGGGAATGCAGATAGTCCTTGGAAAGTTGGCCAGTTGCAGTCCCATCTAATTTTAGCCTTTTTACATTGTTCTAGCTCTGCTACTTTTTGTAACATGACCTTGGCATAACAGTTAGAGGTTATGTGTAGCTTTTGACCTGAGAAAACATGGCACCATTTGGCTGAGGGCAATGTACTATTACATATAAGAAAAGTTTCCTTCTTCTCGTGCTCCTCCTTTTCTTTTTCTTGAAGAAAAAGTGATAGGTAGGTAAAGGGAAAATTCATTATGACGTAAACAACAATTTCATCTTATAAAATCATAGATTTGTTATCTTTGTGCCAAACCCTAATGGCATAGAACTGCTTTGGTTCAGAATTAAAAATGATTCTCTGTAATTATATAGTATCTATAGAAATATTCTGGCTTGATACATTGGTTAAAAAATAGATTCCAGCGTCACTGGTTTTATTGACATAATTTGAGGGTAATAAACTAATCAGTTAATTGCTACATTCCAGCATCTACCAAAGCCATAACCTGGGCAACATTGGGGGGGGGGGGGGGCTGAAAAAGTGAATTCAGTCTTGTCTGATGTGCCTCAGACATTATGTGATTATAGATATAGTTTGGTAGAAAAAAAATTGAGACTAAAGCAAAAACGTTCAAGAAGAAAGTCAAAGAGGTGAAGTATGAATTAATACAATAGATTACACGATTAAATAATAATATTTTACTTATGGCATGCCAGATCCTTCTAAGGATAAATAGCGTCATAAGATTTTCAACAAAGACTAGTTATTACCTAATACTATTCCTCTCACTCCAAATATTTTATTAGCCCAATTTCATCCGTCATGAACAGCCATTATTACATCAGAACATAGATAAAGAAGAATAGGATAGGATAGGACAGGACAGGACAGGGTAGGATAGGATAGGGTAGGGTAGGGTAGGGTAGGGTAGGGTAGGGTAGGATAGGATAGGATAGGATAGGATAGGACAGAATAAAAGCTGGAAGATCTTAGAGGTCTTCTAGTCCAGTTCCTTGCTCAAGCAGAAGACCCTATACCATTTGAGTAGAACAGAACAGAGCAGGAATACATCCATAGTCTTCTTTCACAGAAGATGAAACAGAAGATGAAAAGCCATGTGATTCTGTTTTCTATGCAAGTGGCCTGGAGTAGCATTGGTCTTTATCTACACATTTTTTTATTTTGTTTATTAATGCCAGTGGCTAGAGAGGTATGAATCAGTGAAAAGGTACTCGCCACCAGCCTTTAATATTTCTTATCCTATTCGGTTTCAACTAATTTCTCAAAGAATCATTAGAAAAATTAATTAGAAAATTCTATCTAAATTGACTATCTGCAAATCCTATCATAACTGTGTTGCAGAATTTCATGTAATTTTTGTAAAATCTTTTCTTCCCCTATTAGCTATGAAAGAGTTGAAATAAATAAGTAGATAAAGAATAGCCGGCATGAATACCATTGCCCTCAACAATGTTTGGATGATGGCCACCAGTATAGACTATTGATCTGATTGGAAACTTAATTTAGAACAGAAGTTATTTTAAATGATGGCAGAAGGCCTTTTGGTAGCAGAAATTCCATATTTTTTACAGTTCAGTGCCTGTTTCCATATCTAGGACATAGCACAACGTGGGACTAATGAATTATGTACAGTCAGCGTGCTAGTGTATCCTGTGGAGAAGACACAATGCTATACTTGCAAGCATTGTTATATTGATGCCAGAATTCTTTTTGGCAAATGAATGAATGAATGAATGAATGAATGAATGAATGAATGAATGTCTTTCCCTTTTTCTTGACCTCTATTTTCTACTTCAGATCCCAGACAGACAATGAGGGAAACATAACAGCAGAGTCCGGTACTGGAGGAGGAAGCACAAGCATGGAATCTGCTCCCTGCACAAAAACTGGACAACCTATTTTAGAAGATCTTTCTGGTAAGAGATAGGATGTGTTGAGTCTCCAAATCAGAGGATTAAAAAAGATGCTTTTCCAGAAGGTTTATTTTGTTATTTAGGCTGTTACTTTTGTGAGAGTGAGGACAGCATGCACATTTATTCTTGGTGCTTCATTTTACAGAGTTTTTCAGTATCTTCACTGCAGAAGCAGCTAATGGCAGGTTCTTATTCAGGAAAGTCAGAAAAGGAAACACTATTTTGTGAATAGAGTTTGGGCATTATGTAAATCCTTATCAATGAGGTTTTTTTTAAATTTTATATCTAACTTAGTGAAAATGCCCACTTCTCTTAAATGCTAAATTCTGCCTTAAATAATTATTGTGGAATTTATGGAAAATGGCCAGAATGCTTTATTTAATAATTTAAAATAATAATTTAAAAATAATAAAAAACACACAAAACTGTGACACTGTCACAGACCCTAGACATTGTCTGAACTCCTGATATTTAAGTCTATAAAGAATATCCTATTTAAGGAGTTTGGATTCTTGAAATATCAGTTGTGTGTTCAAAGGCATAATGTTATGAAGGATTCTTAAATATGAGTGTATGTATATTATATTGAAACTAGTTAACTATAAACATATAGGAGGAACCCAGTGGTTTACAAGGTTAAAACACTGGGCTGCCAATCAGGCTTGTGTTTGGGATCCATTGCTGCTGTGGGGCAGGGTAAGCTCCTGTCACACGCTCCAGCTCCTGTCGACCCTTCAGTTTGAAAGTGGGTGACTATGAATAGATTAATGGGTACCACTTTGGTGGACAATTTCATAGAAACATGAAAGGACCCCCCAACTGGGCATCCTCTGGGCAACAGTGATATCACTGGCAAATCCTTTGGTCTGACATGAAAAAAACCCTATAAATATTGCATTCATAATAGAAGTATTACAAATTTAGTGTACACCTAAAAATGGATATACAATGCTAGCTGCTCATATTATTTCAATATAGTTCTTATGCTGAAAAATAGCCACCTATGATGACAATAGTTTCTAGATAAGACCTGAAATACCTCAAGAGCCTAAAATTACTGAAGCTCTAAGCCAGGGGTGTCAAACTGACGGCTCGCAGGCCAGATGTGTCACATGCAGGCCATGCCCACCCCGGCTCCACAAAGGCAAAAAAGTCACGATACGTCACGTGACGCGATCAAGTTTGACACCCGTGCTCTAAGCCATATATTGTCACTTGGCTACAATGTCAAGCAATACATGGACCGGCAGTTAGTAATTATTCAACATGCTCTTTATTAGAGTTGGTGCTGAGCATTTTCCAGAAGTTTATTCTGGTTTTTTTTTAGACTAGAGATTCAGAATTGTTTTCATTGTTTCACATGGTATTTCTTTGATTGTTCTTGCCTTTCTAAAAACTAGTTTTCCATGTTTGGGTAATTAGGTTGGTCTATCTTTAAGAGACTGACTAGTATTTAGAAGTTACACAGCTTTTGGAAAGTTTCCAAAAGTTTCTGTTCTCACAATTAATCCTTCACCCTGGTGTTCAGTTTTTGTATAGTTGTACCTAATTTATCATCCACCCAGGTTATGAATGTACAAAAGATTAGTAAAGATTTTAATATTCTACAGATTATTATTTAGCCATTTGTGAACTCTGAACAATATTTTCATGAAGACAAGTGGCTAGTGCTATTCAACAGGTTTCTAAATAGACTTTTAATAAAACATTTACAGTACAGGAATAAGAGAAGCAGTTAAAGATAATTAACAAATGGGATTTGATATTTCTACAGCTGCCCGAAATCTTATCATTTCAGCCCAGAGATACCTTGGACAAATTCAGTTATATCATCATTCCCTGGGAATTTTAGAAGTTGCTCTTTCAACATATCTAAAGGGCAGTAGACTGAGAAGGCTGAATTACATGGACCTAAGTTAACAACTCCGTGAGCCTGTTGTACTTCCAATCATATTTTATTTGTTTATTTAAAAGATGTATATGGTCACCTCTTTTAAACAAGCAGATTACAACAACAAAACGAATAACTATAAAACAATCATAAAAGAAAGTAAAAGAAAACAAAAACTTAAGCACCTTAAGCATCCCCTTAGGACAGCAGACCCCTACCTTTTGGGCCCCAGGGACTGGTTCCACGAAGAGAGCTTTTTCCACGGACCGGAAGGGCCGTGGTTTTGTGTGCTGCCTGCATCCCACAGATGGGGCTTCGCTTTTTCGGGGCCCAGTTTCTGGCATGCCACAGATCAGTGCCGGGCCACGGACTGGGGTTGGGGACCTCTGTCTTAGGATACCCTGAAGCAATCTCCAATTACCCTCATTCCAGACTTTCTATCTATAGAATCTTACCCTAGCACCTCAGTAAAAAGCCAGGTGTTTGTAACCTCTCAAAAGGCTGAAAGGGTGGGAGCCTGCCAAATCGCTTGAGGGAGGATATTCTACAAGATTAGGGGCAGACACGAAAAAGGCACACTTTCAAGGTCCAAGTAGGTGGCAAGATTTCAGGGAAATCTGAAGCATGCCTACCCTATCTGACCTAGTGGAACAAGGAGATATTCTTACAGAGAGATGGTTCTGCAGATAATCATTTAGGCCAGAGGTCTCCAATTTTTTTGGCTTGGCGGCCTGGAAAGGGAAGTAGGCAATGCTCCGTACGCGCGCACAAATGGGCCGCGTGCCTGTGTGTGCAAAAATGAGCCCCATGCGTGCACAAACGGGCCCTGTGCGAGCACATGCACACACAGATGGCCGCATGTGAGCGCATGCGCACGTGCAAATGGGGTTGCGCAGGTAGGAGTGCTGCAAATGGGGCGGCACTAGCACACATGCAAATGGGGCCACACGTGTGCGAGTGCTGCAAATGGGGCAGCGCTAGCGCTGGCAGGATGGTATGGGCGGCACTAGTGCCAGTGAGATGCTTGGGGATGGGGCGACACTAGCACTGGTGAGATGCTCGGAGTGATGCTAGTGCCGGTGAGACGCATAGGGCAGGGTGGTGCTAGTGCCAGCAGGATGCTCGGGGTGGCGCTAGTGCAAGTGTGGCCTACACGTGCCCCAGTGGCCAAATGGCCGCTGCCCGGTAGTGGGCCACAGCCCACAACTTGGTGACCCCTGATTTAGGCCTTTAAAGGTAGCTCCAAATGTACCCAGAATGAGACTGGGAGCCTGTATAGCTTGTACAATAGAGGTATATCCTGACTAACTTGTGAACACCCCAAACTGTACACACCACTGCCTGAAACTTCCCAAATGGTTTCCAAGGACAGCCCCAAGTAAAGCGCATTATAATAATCCAACTGGGAAATGATTAAGGTATCAGTCACTGTGAGCGTGACCTCCTAGTCCAGGAAGGGGCTCATAGGTGCACAAGATGAATCTGTGCAAACACACTGCTAGCCAATGCTGCCACCTTCTCATCAAGCAGCAGACATGAGTCCAGGAGGATCCCGATTTCTCTGCATTGACGGGCAGCTGCTGAGAACTCAAGGGTTGACAGGAAGTGGACTGCCCATGGCAGGGGTCTATGCCCTCTAAATCCAAAGAAGATATTTCTTTTCAAAATCCCTAATTTTGACCAGATGCAGTGCTAATTTGCATAGAATGTAAACTGAGTTTAAAGTTTCCACGATTCCAGAAAGTTTCTTTTTAAAAAAGAAGCATCTTTAGTTTGAAAAAAAAAAAGGACAGAAATCTTACCGTGCAATTATCAGCACTTTCAAACTGCCAGCTATTGTTTCCACCAAATGTTAGTATTCTTTATTATAACTTTTCCTCATCGGTGTCCTCTGCACTAAATCTCGGAATTTTTTTTTAAAGAAAGTTATTCACATGTTTAATAAAGGATTACTAAGGTTTCAACATTAAGGTTACAAATGGCTCTTCAGGTTTCACAAAGTTCTTGTTAAACCTGGATTTAGGACAAATATTAACACAGCATTCGAGACTTCTTATTCCTGCACAAATTTGCTCAGTCTCTTAGAAGAGCAAAAGAGGATTGTCTCCCAGTCATTGTGTCCCACCTGGATTCTATGAAGCTACGCCAATATCTTCACAGAAGGTAGATTTCTCACTGGCTGCACCCACTTTATAAAACTACTTGTGGCCTGAATTTAATCTAACATCATTTCTTTCCATTTTCAGGTGAAGTTGTGGCTTTTCCCTTTTGCTTTTTGCTGGATTTATTCAGTTGATTTATTAATTAGTGTTTACTTTTCTGATTGATTGATGTTTTAAAATGTATTCTATTTCTATTAGCTGCTTTAAGTGCATTTTAAATACACATAAAAAACCTGGGGTAAAATGCTTTAAATAAAATACATTTAAATAAGTGGTATAGAGAAGAGGTTTTTTTTCAAGCTTGTAGAGAGCTTAGACTTGCCTTTTATGATGAGCACTTGAAATGTTTTTGTAGACTAAGGTTGTATTACTCCATGAATGTTTACCTTTGAGGAAAAGCTCTTGAATGAAATGAAACTTCTGAACAGAGACATGCTTTGATCTGAAGATAACTAAAACATATTTAGGTAAAGGAGTGAGAACTGTTCTCCCTTTGGAAACATAAAAAGTGAACAATTGCTGTAATTGCTGTTATGGTTATAACATGTAAAAATGAATTTTGGGTGGTGCGCTAAAGTAATTCCTGCAGTATTCCTTACTCTAAGACGGATATCCTTTGTTTATTAATTTTCTAGAGAGCATCCAGATGTTATCCTTATCAGATTGATACACTACAGTATTTCTATGTTCCCCAAGTTCTTTTCTATTGAGAATGCAGTCTGGTAGATAACATAACATAACATTTCAATTTTATAATAAATGGTAGATTCTAGTCTGCCTGAAATTACAAAGCCTTGTATTCAGCTAGTTTAAATCAGTGTGTGTTTTGCCATAAAGTGTTTAATAGATATTCTTTTTTTTAAAGAAGCCACTCCTTCAGAAACAATGAGATTAATTTGTTTTCAAATGTACATTAGATATCTCCAGAGATGATAAAATTGCAGGTTTAAAGAGATGGGAATCCAAATAGAAACACAATCAGAGTTTTTCAAACCCACATTGATTTTTAAAACTTCTTTACAAGACTAGGATACAAACATAATAGCGAGAGCCTGAGATTGTTTGGGGATAGTGGAAATGAATACATTCATAAATAGCAATAACACTTAGATTTATATGCCACCCCATAGTGCTTTAAACATTCTCTGGGCAGTTTACAATGTTAGCATAGTGTCCCCAACGATCTGAGTCCCCATTTTACTGACTTCAGAAGGATGGAAGGCTGAGTCAGCCTTGAACCCCATCAGGATCGAACTCCAGGCTGTGGGCAGAGTTTGCCTGCAATACTGCATTCTAACCACTGTGCCATCAGGGCTCCTCCAATAGTTCAAATAATTTTGAATATTAAATACAATTCAGATTAGTGTACAACAGAGGCCTATGTTCGTCAGATTGATTATACCCTACCATGTCTCATTCAGCCCAAGATTAAACACCACTTACAAAAAAACAAAGAGGCTGAAATAACATAAAAATAGAAAAGTATTTTTGGAGTTCACATTTTGGAAATATGAAACATGTGTATGTGTATACTCTGCTGATAAACTCAAAATTACTTCTTATCTAAAAGTTGCATTTTTCCATAGGGGAAGATCCAGAAGCGCGCAGATTACGAACTGTCAAGAATATCGCTGATCTTCGGCAAAACTTAGAAGAGACCATGTCTAGTTTACGTGGAACCCAGGTGTCCCATAGGTAAGAGACACGTGAATTATTTCTTTACGAGGAATAAAACTACTTTGCCCATACTTTACTTTCTTTCTGCTTCTGAAAGATTATAAATTACTAATGGCAAAGATTAATTTGACTATACACTGCACTTTGTTATCTTTTTTATGTGAAAAACTAGAATCTGTACCATATTAGAGCATAACTGAGATTAATGAAGAGTTAAGTTTAGGAAGTGGAAGAAACCATTTCAGAGAGGGCTGTATATAAAGGCTGAGTCTTGGAAAAATATTAGTTAAATATTTTTTAGGTGATGTTTGAACAGAAAGGTGCAAAGGTTACTTTTTAAAAAGTTACCTAGGTTTACTTCTGAAACTTAACGTATTTTAACCAGATCTACATTATTGTGTTTAAACAAGCAGCTGAACTGTATTTGACCTGTTTGATAAGGCACATAGCTTGAATTCCTACCTGGCCTTTGGATAAACAAAGCCTTATAATTCTATTAATGAGGTATGCATGGTCATATTTTAAAGCAGTGAAAACGATTCACTAGTAATATTTCAGACAGAAATCAAAATGGTCTATTGTTGCACTGTAGCACATAATAACATTGCCAATTCAGGCAATCAGCTAAATGCTTGGGAAAAAAACCACATCAAAGAAGTAGTATGATTCAATTGTGACATTTTACTTACCCTGACACACGTATTTCATCCAGGCTTTCCTAGTTTTTAAACAATACAATCAAAATTTAAAAAAATACAACAAACTGAAGACAAAATATGAAAAAGCCATCAGTAACGTAATACAGGGGCCTGAGACAACTAAACAGTCCTTAAATCACACCTAAAACTTGAAAGCTCAATACCAGATAGTTTTCTCAGAAGTAATATTTCCAATGATACCTTCTGCCCTAACTGCAGAAAAATAAGAAAAGAAGCTAAAATGAATTTACTGGTGGAAAGTCTCCCGAACAAGTTCAGTCTCATAGGTTTATTCATTAAAGTTCCACAGCCATTTATTGTTTTTAGACAATAAAACAGAGTATACAGAGCATTGGTAAATAATGCAATTATTAATAATAAAGAGTTATGGTTGAAATCTTTAACAAAAGGTCTCATCAAGGAAGCACCATAACACAATTCCACCTAAGATATACAAGTGTATTAAATGGACTTCTGTAGGTTTCCTTGACCAAATGTGTTGCCTTCTATAGCCAAAATTTAATATTCCTCTGCCCCATAGTTTATTAGTAAGATTTAAAAAAACCCTTTTTTTGCTTTTATTTCATCCCAGATATCTATTATTTAAAATATTTAAATAAAATATTTCTAGCATTTGTCATAAACATTGGTTGAAATGTATTACACCTTGAATCTTTTCCTATTTTAAGCACTTTGGAGACCACCTTTGATACTAATGTCACCACTGAAATAAGCGGACGCAGCATCCTCAGTTTGACTGGTAGGCCAACACCTTTATCTTGGAGACTTGGGCAGTCCAGTCCCCGCCTCCAGGCAGGTGATGCTCCATCAGTGGGGAATGGATATCCTCCAAGAGCCAATGCCAGCCGATTCATCAATGCAGAATCAGGACGTTACATATATTCAGCACCATTGAGAAGACAGCCAACATCTCGGGACAATAATGTTTGCCATGTGGATATCACAGACAAAGGAGGTGATGAAGTAGATCTTGAAAGAATCAACATGGATGCGACAGGTTATATGAGTGACGGAGATGTCCTTGGGAAAAATATAAGGAGTGATGATATTACAAGTGGGTGAGTACAACCAAATCTGTTTGTTACTTTAAAAAAGCCATTTATTCTCTGCTCTTGAGATAAAAATAGTTCCAACAATTAAATTTAGTTAAAATGGTGCAATGTATTAAGAATATATTGGTTAAAAATATAGTAGCTCATTATGGTTATTGATGAGATAGTCCAGGTTTAAAAGTAAGGATCAGAAAAAAACAGCTGGTGATGATAGTAAAATAACATTTTCAAGCAGAGTCTAGACCAGGGGTCCCCAATCTGTGGGCCACGGCCCAGTAGTGGACCGTGGCCTGCTGGCCACCGGGTCACGGGACAGGCTGGCCAGTGTGAAAACGGGCCCCCGCCGTGCTGTGGGGCGCAAAAATGGGTGCCACCATACTTCAGGGTGCAAAACCGGACCGCTGCCATGCTGCAAGGCGCAAAAACGAATGACACCATGCTGTGGGATGTGGAAATGGGCCACTGCCGCACTGCAAGGTGCAAAAATGCCCCCCGCTGCACCATGGGGTGCAGAAACAAGGCATTGTGCCACGCAAGAACAGGGCAGGGCTAGTGAGTATCATGCGGGTGCTAGCCCCACCCCATTTGGGGCACATGCATGCTCGCACCCCCGTGCGCACGTGCATGCACACATGTAAAATGCTTCCCCCTCTCTTTTTCTCTAGTCCGCCAACCGACAAAGGTTGGTGACCTCTGGTCTAGATGGCCATTTGTTGTGGGTGCTTCAGTTTGGGTTTTTGCACTGACTAAGCAAGAAGATAGATACATTAGTTTAAATTGCCTTTTCCATTTCTGTGAAATTGTTGCTTAATTCGTTGAAAATTTTGCTTAGTTGTGAGTCTCTGAATGGAGTTTAATAAAAGAAAATATATCAAGAACTTAGGGTTCTGTAGCCTTTGCCCAAGATCTGTAAATTGGTTAATGGAATGGTGTTATGTTGAGCTGCCTAAATTCTCAAGCTTATGTCTGTTCCCCATGGAGAAATGCCATAACAAATTATCACACACCATTCATGTATATATTGTCTTCCAATTATCAGCATGGGCAAACTGCAGCATGGTACTAAACTGTAGACTTCTGCAAAGTTCTTAGGACATATCTTTCCTATTGTCATTCTTAGTTCTCCAAAATCAGCCCTACACAAATAAGCATGCAGCCTGATTCAGCCTATTCTGTCTGTATACATATAAGTACTTACAGGAGTTTAAGTCCAGTTGCCTTGTGAAAAAGCATATTTGGGATAACTATGACCTGGATGACTGAGAATCTCCATAGACATTGTGTTTGCACATGTTAGGTGTTGGAAGAGCTAGAATCCAAGTTGCAGCAAAAATGTTAACTCATGAATAAAACTATTCACATGAGGACATGATAGATAATAAAGAATTGCTTTGTCTATTGTCTAGTTTCTGGATATACTTTTAAAAAGTACTGTATTTTGTTTCTTACAAACTTAATGTATATACTCAGTACTTTTTTTCTAAAAAAAAAAAAAAAAAAGGTGCCGGAACTCACACACGTCATACAGCCCGCCTTGCCTACCCTACAAGGTTCCATCCAAAAAAGGTGCCGGAACTCCGTTCTGGGCGTTCTATTTATTTATTTATTTATTTATTTTTTTATTTATTATTTGGATTTATTATTTATTTATTTATTTATTAATTTGATTTATATACCGCCCTTCTCCCGAAGGACTCAGGGCGGTGCACAGCATATTAAAAACAAGTAACAATAAAATACCAAAATAAAATTAATAAATACCAAAATAAAAACCCCTCTAAGACCAAATTAAAAGCCAAATATTATATTATATTATATCCCGCCCTTCTCCTCGTAGGACTCAGGGCGGCTGACAATCAATTAAAATACATAAATAACAATACAAATTTAAAATTAATTAAAAAAAGATATTTAAATATTGTCCGATTAAAATATAATTAAAACCCCTCTAAAAATTACCCTAGGCCAGTCCTGCAAGCTGGAATAACCAAGTCTTGAGGGCGCGGCGAAANGGATAACCCTGATCTCTGGGGGCAGTTCATTCCAGAGGGTGGGAGCTCCCACAGAGAAGGCCCTCCCCCTTGGGGTCGCCAGCCGGCACTGTCTGGCCGACGGCACCCTGAAGAGACCCACTCTATGGGAGCGTACAGGTCGATGGGAGGTAATCTGCGGCAGGAGGCGGTCTCGAAGGTATCCGGGTCCGATGCCATGAGAAAAAAAGCCCTGTATATACTAAACATGCTCTATTAGCAGTATTAGAAATATACAAAAAGATGCATATGGGAATAGGACAAATTAATGATTTGTTTGAACAGGGATAAGCTGAAGAAAACCAAAAATATTAAAGTCCCACTAAAAGATGGACCATTATTAAACTTTCTGGGTTTTTTCCCCCAGAAGTACAGATACTTTGCCTCTCATTCTATTATTTTTTGCACTTGCTAGTAAAGTTGTCACATGCACATCAGTTTTGTACAAAATAATATAATGGAACCTTGTAAGACATTGTCAGTATAGGAATTAATGAATTGTATTTTATTGTTGGCTATCTTTCATATACAGGATGATCTTGTCTTTCTTTTTTGTAATTTTTATAGCAATTTATTTGTTTATAGCTCCATCTAGTGGTGAGCAATTTTCTTAGTAAATCTGCGTCTTAAGTTGAACCCTAAGTTTCCTTCCATTTAAAAGTTATTGTAGGGCAGAAGGGGAAATTCTATCTTTAAGTTACATGTAAAAATTAAAACAATCAAGAAGAGAAAGTTGCTTCTGACATTTACAATGGCTGAATTGTCCTCAGGACATACTAATAAACAACAAAAACAAACAACAGCAACAACAATAATAATAGAATTGGAAGGGATCTTGGAGGTCTTCTAGTCCAACCCCCTGATCAGGCAGGAAACCCTATACCATTTCAGACAAATGGTTGTCCAGTTTCTTCTTAAAAACTTCCAGTGTTGGAGCATTCACAACTTCTGGAGGCAGGTTGTTCCACTGCTTAATTGTTCTAACTGTCAGGAAATTTCTCCTTAGTTCTAGGTTGCTTCTCTCTTAGTTTAATTTCCATCTATTGCTTCTTGTTCTGCCTTCAGGTGCTTTGGAGAATAGCTTGACTCCCTCTTCTTTGTAGAAACCTCTGAGATAGCAGAACACTGCTATCATGTCACCCCTAGTCCTTCTCTTCATTAAACTAGACATACCCACTTCCAGCAACCGTTCCTTATATGTTTTAGCCTTCAATCCCCTAATCATCTTTGTTGCTCTTCTCTGTACTCTTTCTAGAGTCTCAACATCTTTTTTACATTGTGGTGACCAAAACTGGATGCAGTATTCCAAGTGTGGCCTTACTACGGCATTATAAAGCGGTATTAACTCTTCACATGATCTTGATTCTATCCCTCTGTTAATGCAGCCTAGCACTGTGCTGGGTTTTTTGGCAACTGCAGCACACTGCTGGCTCATATTTAACTGATTGTCCACTAGAACTCCGAGATCCCTCTCACAGTTACTACTGCTGAGCAAGGTAGCACCTATATTGTACCTGTGCATTTGGTTTTTCTTGCCTAAATGTAGAACCTTACTTTTTTCACCATTGAATTTCATTTTGTTAGATAGCACCCAATGTTCAAGTCTGTCAAGATCCTCCTGTATCTTAAGCCTATCTTCTGGAGTGTTGGCTATTCCTGCCAGCTTGTTGTCATCTACAAATTTGATGAGTTCCCCATCTACCCCCTCGTCCAAATGGTTGATGAAGATGTTGAAGAGCACTGGGCCCATAACAGAGCCCTGGGGCAGCCCACTATACACTTCCATCCATGTAGATGCAGTTCCATTGAGGACCACACACTCAGTACGGTCGGTCAGCCAGCTGTATTTATATTTATATAAATATTTATATAAATAGTATTTATAACTAAATCTGTTCTTTAATAACTGGATTCCAGCTAGTGCACATTTATTTAGTAGGAACTATAAGCATTGTGCTAGATAGTAGTAACAGCCAAAGCCTGACATATTTGAACATTAGAACAGGCCTATTAGATGAGGCTGTCACTGTGGCCAACTACAGGACAGATGGAAATGTTATTCTGGATACAATAGAAGGCATAGCTTTCATCAGTTATGCCATGCATACAGGTAATCCTTAACTTACTAACATAATGGAGCCTGCACATCATGGTCGTAAGCCGTGACAATCGTAAAGGAGGTAATTCACATGACCCACCCAATTTTATGACCTATTTTTTGCACTGGTTGTTAAGCAAATGATTGTGAAGTGAATGCCATGGTCATCAAGTGAACCCATTGTTCGCTATGGGACAGTTTTGCCAAAACCCAGAAAAAAATGCCCGTTTTGGGGGGCAAAACCATGATAAAATGCAGTCACATGACCATGAGATGATGAAACAGCCAGAAATGTGAGTCTGTTGCTGAATGTCCAACATGCGTTCTCATGACCATGGTAGAGGAGGCATCAGAACTTCAGAACCAGGTTATAAGTACCCCTGGGGAAGTCTACTGTAACTTCAAACAGCCACTAGTAGTAAGTTAAGGACTTCCCATATATAAAAGTGATTGAGATGTTAAGTATTAGTGCAGGGGTGTCAAACTTGCAACGTCACGTGACATGTTGCGACGTATCGTTACTTTTTCTCCATTGACAGCAATGGGGTGGGCACGGTTTTGGCATGATGCATCCGGTACATGGGCTGGCAGTTTGACATCCCCGTATTAGTGTATAAATTTCTCATAAATTTCCCAGGGGTCAAACTAAAGGATTTATCTCAATTTTTGAGCTTTCTGGGTGTTGAAGTTCACATAGCTGGCAGGCTGGGAAAGCAGGTCTAGGAAATAGAAAACTCATTGCCATTCATTCTGTTTCTCTGGCTGGATTTATAAGTTACCTCAGAAAGGCACAGATTCTTTATTCTGGCAAGTCTTTTCTGACTGTCAGATGTGAGGTTGTTGGAGCCTGAGAATTAAGCAAATGTCATAGTCTGCTTAGAA